AAAATCGCATATGACTTTTCATATTACTTTTATACGATTTGCAGGTGCTCCCTCACCTTGTTTACTTACGTCAAAGTCAAACACAGACTGCAAGTTCTCATTAATTATCTCATCAATGATTAGCTGAAATGTTCACCTCCATTGGACAATCTGGACAAAATACCCATTAACTTGAGCTGACCAAACTGTAATCAGGTTTCTCACTCCCACAGGTCCTGGGACATTGACTCATCTTTTTTTTTTTTTTTTGAGATGGAGTCTTGCTCTGTCACCCAGGCTGGAGTGCGGTGTGGCAGGATCTAGGCTCACTGCAACCTCTGCCTGCCAGGTTCACGGGATTCTCGTGCCTCATCCTCCCAAGTAACTGGGATTACAGGCACCCGCCACTATGCTCAGCCAGTTTCTTTATATTTTTAGTAGAGACAGGGTTTCACCATGTTGACCAGGTTGGTCTCAAACTCCTGACCTTGTGATTTACCTGCCTCAGCCTCCCAAAGTGCTGGGATTACAGGTGTGAGCCAGTATTAGAACACAGAACAGCACCTCCTTAAGAGTCCCTATGAAGAATGGGTTGACCTCAGGGAAAAACATTCTCTGACCAACCATGCAAAGACAATATACCCTGCTCGCTACCTTTCCCACACCCAATTCTTCCTAGTCTTGCTTGCTCTTTCCCATAAAACAAAAACCTTTTTTGGCTTGATCTTTGAGACATCCATGGATCTTTGGATTGGGGCCATCTCCCACTTCCACATATTTCAGTAGCCTTTTTGAATTAAATCTCTCCTTCCCCAAGTCTAGATTTGGTTTCCACTTGACTTCCTTGATTAACTAGTGGTTTATTACTGTGTGTGTATATAGTGACTCATTTCTATTCAACAGACATTTGTTAGACCTGCATACTTAGTGAGCTCCTGGGGACACAGCAGTGAACAAAATGGACAAAACTCCTTCATTATTTGAGTTTACATCCTAGTTTGTAGAAATAGATAAATGAACAAAATATTCTGTAGGTCTGATGGTGATTCCTGCTATGGAGAAATTTAAATCTAGCAAGAGAGAGCTGGTTTGGATTGGGTTGAAAGGGCTACATTTTAAAATAAAGTAGTCTGGGATATATTTAGGTTATTTCCAATTTTAGAGCTGGAAGAAAGGGATGACTGTGGGTCTCTAATCCTGAAGTCTATAAATGGTTAATAGTGAAGGCCTCTGAACACAAATGATGCTCAAAGTCAAGTAAGGAGGTCCTGTAGCCATTTGGAGACATTTATAGGTATTTGATTGCTTTGTTTCAATCCAAGGTCATGGAAGTTAGAGGGGTTAAGAAGTAAGATTTCCAAATTGGAGTCCTTGAGAATACAGGGTTATTCTCCTGTATATCTAGAAGTTCCCATTCCAAAGACCTTAGGTCAGTGTAACATTAGCAATAAAAGCAGGTGCTAGAGGGATCATCCCTGGTTAGTTTTTGGTTATTTGCTTTTGGATTTTTTTAATCTCCAAAAGAATACCGTGTCCCTGTCAATTAATAACAGTTCTGAAATTAGGATTAGTTGATGATTTGGAGAGTTATGCATTCTAGGTGTGTTTTTTAAAAAGCTAATGATTTGAAGGGAAGTATTTTGTAGTGTTTTGACAGTGTTTTTAGCATTTTAACTTACATAGGTAAAACATTTCCCTTTTAAATGCTTTCTGTTATACGTCTGTCAGACTCTAAGTTAGTTAAAATGTTTTTTTTTAAAAATGACACTGTGACTAGTGCAGGTTTTATGGAAGCAAAGTGGCTGAAATTTTGAAGACTCATTTATGAATTAATTGAGCTTATTTATAATTATCATTTGGCATCTCTCAACAGACATCCTTCTGTAATCAGAAAATATAAATCAACTGAAGTTACAGTCATATGTCACTTAACAACAGGGCTGTATTCTCAGAAATGCACTGACAGGCAATTCCATTGTTGTGTGAACACCATAGAGTGACACAAACCTAGGTAGTGTGGGATGCTACACACCTAGGCTGCATGGTACAACCTTTTGCTCCTAGGCAACAAACCTGCACTGCAGGTTACTGTCCTGGATACTGTAGGCAATTGTGACACAATGGTATGTGTGTATCTTATATCTAAACATAGAAACGGTACACTAAAAATATGGTATCATAATCTTATGGAAACATTTTCATATATGCAGTCTGTCTTTAACTGAAACTTGTGTATGCTGTGCTTGACTGTGTATGGATGGATTATTTCCAAGGTTCCCCAGACTAAGATACTAAATACCAAGGCAACATTAATTATTTGAGGTTTCTTTTGTAGAGCTCAAGAAAACAGCCCAGGTGAAGCCTAGGTTTTTTGTTTTTTGTTTTCTGTTTTCCATTACATCTGGTTGAACATAGTCCATCAGTGTCTAATAAATTTCTCATAACAGGCTTTAAAATAACACCACAGAGCTTTCAAATGGCTAGTGCTCAAAACAAAATGGATAAATTGGAAAGCTTCTATCAGATCTGATAGGCTGATCCTCTTTGGTACAAATATTCAGAAATATAGCTACTTCAATTCTGTAGGCACTTTAAAGGTAGTTAGCTGGTATTTAAACTTAGTTGGGTCATACATCCCAGACTACTCAAGAAGCAATAAGATAAAGCCATCACTACTATTGCATCTTATCCCAACAATGATAGTGAATTATGAAAATTATCAAAACTGCTTCATATTGTCTAAGCTCTCCATGAATGAAGGTTATAAGTTATAACGCCTATCACTAAACTGGAACAATATAGGATAACAGCTTACTTTTAGGGTATTTTGAATCAGTATGTATAATACTGGAGCTTATCCTGCCATATTAAGTTACTAACAATTGGAGGGAGAGGAAAATACCCTTTCTTTTTCAATGAGTATGAATTTCTTTATTTTTTTTATTTTATATTTTGTTTTCCGCAAAATCAGACTCAAACAAATATCAGGACCTTCCTATTTTCTATTCTAGTCTTCCTCCATTTAAAGGACATATAATCAAATGTAGAAACGTATATCAATCATCAAATTTTTCATCTTAACTCACCCACCATCATCTGAGTCTCTACAGTGACTCATGGCTGATATTAGTGGGTTGATTGCTCAGCCAATGAACAGATTTTAAGCAGAATATTTGAACCAGCCTTCAAAATATTTAAAAAAATTAAAGTATAACTAATTATGTCAATTATTAGCACATCCAATGGGATTATCTTCTGGGCAGTTGACCAGTTGAACAGTTACCAGCCTGATAACATCTAAGCTTCAAGTGGGCAAATATTGACTATGTAGCCACAGCCTCAGTTGCAATGTGACTTGAAGTTTAAAAAGAGCTGAACCAGATAGTTTGCATAGATGTCTGAGCCATCTGCATGGCTTCCCAAGGTAGGGGATTTAATAGAGGGTGATATTATTCTATTCAGTGATGATAGAAACTAATATAGCTTCACAGCTGTGATTTGTGGCACAGGATAGGAGGACAGTGGCTACATCTGAAGTGAACCACATTTCTATGGGTATTTTTCAAAGGAACAGATTGTACCAAAAGCAGACAAAACATCAATGCCTGAATTCTGGTGAGTTTTGCTAATAGTAGCACTATTCAGTCGTTTTTAGTTGGAATGGCTGTGTTTGCATTGCTGATGCAACCACTTTGCCATTGGAAAATCTGCCAGAGCAAATTGCATTCCTAGCAGCACAAACATCATTTATTTGCTCATTCATTCAACAATAGTTATTGAGGACTCATTCTGTGTGAAGACTGTGTTAAGTTACTAGAGACAGAGTTGTAAATAAGATTCAGTCCTAAAGGAACTTTCTCCCTAGTGGGACATATGAACGAATTAACATTTACAGTTGATTATAATAATTGTTGTGTCTCATGTAAGGTCAAGATGTACTGGAGCTAATTACAGGGTCACCCAGTCTGTCTTGGTTAAGGATGGCTTCTCAGAAGAAGTGGTGTCTAAGCTGAGACAAGGAGAAGAAATAGGAGTTGGTTTGATAGGAGTGCAAAAGTTGGGAAGAGCATGTTTTCTATCCAGAAAGATCACCATGTGCAATGTTCCTGAACTAAGTGGGAGCAGGGGATGATCTCAGAGGGCAACAGGGCTCACATGACATGGAGAGTTGTCAGATAGGAAAGGCACTTGGAGCCTTATCTGAAGTTCAGGGAAGGGCTGTCAAAGGTTTGTAGACAGAATACAGGAATAAGTTTCAACATCTAAGGGTAGTAGAGAAATCCATTAGCAAAGCTAAAAAAAAAAAAAAAGAAACAAAAGACCCTTCAACTTTTATTTCTAGTTAGATATCTGTTTAATATACTAAATAGAAAAATACAGATGGCTGAGGCTGAGAGCTTCTAGTATGGATATTCTATATCTTTCTAAACTGTTAAGAAAAGATATTATGATTGATTATAGCACCTTTTGAATGTAGTCATGCCCCATATTTCATAGACAGTTCCATCTCTCTTTGGTGAATTCAAAAAGAGCTAAATCACAGCTTCATGAATAGAATTTCTTCTCAAAATTTAAATTTTAAAATATGTAAGTACAATGGCAATTGAACAATCCTTCTCTGTTCTGCTGTGGAAATGAACTTTGTTTTTTTTTTTGTTTGTTTTGTTTTTTTTAAATTCCAGCTAAATATGGAGAGTGAATAATTATAGTAAAACTGGCCTTACTGTGTACATCTGTTTTTTTTTTTTTTCCATAATTGCTTTAATTACAGGATGAACTCCCTGGGAAACAAAAATAAGTTTTACTGCAATAGATTATATTATTACATTTTATGAAGTTTTGAACTTTTGTTAAATTATTATTGTTAGTTTGCTCATGCATAAACACTCATACCTTCGAATACCAAGGATCTATCACAGCAAGTTCAAGATACTCAACAGCCAGGTTTTACCCAACTTTAGGAATTTCCCAAGACATTGGCCTTATGCTTATTGTTCAAAATGAGGCCCTTTAGAAGCTACATCTGCCTCACCCTATCCCAGAGAAGACCATGTCAAATTTTAAAAGAACCCATCCTTTAATCAAAAATGTGAGACAGGGCTACTAGATTTAGAAAAAAAAAAAAAGAAAATGAAAGGAATAAAAGGAAAATAGGGAATGATCCAATGATCTTTGGGACATGTTTTTCCTAAAAAAATTACTTCTTGTTTACTTGAAATTCAGATTTAACTGTGAATCCTGTAAATGTTTTTGCATGTGGCAACCCTACATAAAGGGAATCTAGCAACATTTTCTGTGGAGGTAATAGCAGTTTGTTCTTTTCTACCCACTTCCCTCACATGTGCTACAAAATTTCCCTGTCCACAAAATGTTCATATCTTTTTCCATCCCAATAGCATCTAGTCCTTTCTAGGTCTCTTCTCCCCTACCTCTCCATCCATTCCTGTATCCTATGAATTGCCCTAGCTTCTTCACAAAAGAATGGGATGGAGTATCTGTGCATTAGGAAGAGGAAGTTGTGCCATTTGAGAAATTGGTGGATGCCTGGGAGAGGGTAAAACACTCTAAACATTCCCAAATTAATTTGGGTTCATTATATGTATAGGAATTCTATCTCATCAGAGTCACTAAATATTTCATTTCTAAAGTACTGAGCACATTTTTTGCCTATACATCAGTGAAATTTAAAAGTAAGTTTTGCCAAAATTAGAAATTAGTTCTATGATTATTGGTCAACTAAATTAGATCTTTGGACTAAAGTGTTTTCTAGTCTGTTTTACACTTTATCACATTGTTTTTATTTTTCTTCACTATCACTATGTTATTCTAAATGTCAGTGTGTAGCTCATTTTCTTAGAAATCAAATCCAAACCTTGAATTTATAGTTAATCATGTTTCTAATTGTCTAATAAATTTCTAATTGTCAAATCCACCTGTATGTTAAAATAGGAGAAATATGGGATTGCTCAATATTATTCAGAGTTGGGAATTATAGACAAGATTCATTAAAACATTGAAATAAGGAAAATAGCTATTAAAATGCCATTTTTTTGTGTTCTTGAGAAAAATCCAATAATTCTTTTTTCTAAGTCTTTGAGAACTAAAAAGGGCTTTCACAGCTGATTGTGTTTATATTTCATGGAAAATTTCAGGTTTATTGTTAGAAAATTGTAATGCTGTTAGCAATAATGGCAAAGCCAAATGTTTACAATATAATTACCATTTTCCTAGAATATGTGTGGTTTGGGAGAAAGAAATTTAGATGAAGAACCTCTCAAAAGATTGCATGTGGCTAGGACCTTTGTCCGAATGCAGAGATAATAGTAGCATTTCATAGTAGTCATTATAATTGAAAAGTAACTTAAGGATTTTTGGCTCCTTATAATTACATTGAAGGTGGTTTTTAATTTTGCAGGGAGCATTTTGGAAGAGGTAGTTTAATCAGTATCTAAAATATCAAATGATGGAAGTCACTGTTCTAAGATTGAAAACATTTGCCTTGAAATATACATTGATTTTTGTATAGATTCTTCCTTCAAATGTTTCCAGTTTTTCTTTCTATCTGTTTCAACCACAAACAAAACCAAGGAAAAGATTCTTCTTACATTCTTGGCTCATTGTGATATCATAATCACCCAGCTTCAATCTCTCTTCCTTCCATCATTTATTCTACTATAAGATTAATGATCCTAAATGATTACTTTCATTATATGTAATGATGACCTTTCACTTACTCTATTGCTTACTTCTTCAAATATATACCCTTCATTCCCTGTGCTGATGGAAAGCTTTTTTCAGGAGTAGTCATCAGTCAACAACAATCTGTGCTTATAGATGACAGATATCCATCTACAACAAAAGCCATGAGTGATATAAAAGAGCTTTGGGAAAGGAGCTACAAGACTGGCATTTACCTTTCTCTGTGTACAAACCTGAGCAACTCACTGCCTTTGAGCCTCGGTTTTCTCATCTGTGAGGCAGAGAAAATAATGGCTGTATTGTTGAAAAGCAACAATTGAGAAGAGTTCTAGTGTATTAATAAATGTTTCAATCTCTATATTTTATTCAGTGAATTGTAAACTCTTTGAAAAATGTTCCATGGCTCTTCATCATTGCCTGGGCCCATCAAGTTGAGATTTCTGATCGTGACATTTTAAATGCCTGAGTATCTGGTACAATCATACCTATGCACTTGTAAATTGTTGTTAGTGTTTATCAGGCACAAATTATATGTTGGGCACGGTGATGAAACCTTTGTACCCATTTTCACTTTTGAACATCACAATCATCCATCCTATAAAAAGGAATCTCAGGCCAGTGAGGTAGCCACACCTGTAATCCCAACACTTTGGGAGGCCAAGGTGGGAGAATTACTTAAGGCAAGAAACTTAAGACCAGACTGAGCAACACAGAAAGACCTCATGTCTACAAAAACATTAACGAACATTAGCCAGGCATGGTGGCACATGCCTGTAATCCAGCTACACGGGAGGCTGAGGCAGGAGGATGAATTGAGCCCAGGAGTTCAAGGCTGCAGTGAGCTGTGATTGCGCCACTGTACTGTACTGTTGCCTGAGCAACAGAGCAAGACCCTGTCTCTACTTTTTTTTTTAAACAGTGCTATTAGTACTATTTGTATTCTTTCTTATAGGTAAGAAAATGAGCCTTGGAAAAGTTATATAACTTCTCCAAAGTTAAATCGTTGGGGAAGAGGAAAAATCAGTATTCGAACCCAGGCAGTTCAATTCTATAATCTGATGTTTTAGCCACTGAGCTATACTTACCAAAGAAACTTCTTTTTGGACTTGGATAATTGTTGTCCCTGAAAATATATATATATTTGTACCTTTTGTTGCATCTATTTATATCTCAAAGTCGATTCTTTTTTCTTTCTCTCTTCACAATTCTATTGTTATGACTGTGCATTGCCTTTCCCTGCTAAATAGGTACACCAAATCCTAAACTCTCTCCACCCTCACTGAGCACTTTTGTATTGTACTAGCAAGAACCACACTGGATTACATTATCATATAGTTTCTCTGATGCATTCATATATTTAGAAACTGCCAAACTAGACCTACCTCAGGAATGAGTACCAAGTCTTTTACCGCTTTTGCACATCCTAATTTATGCAGAAAAAGTAATGGACAATAGAAGGTGTAAAAATGCACCAAAAGAACAATTGTTAATTTCTGTAATAATCTTTTGAGATTTGCAGTCTTGCAGTGTTCTGGAAGCTGTCTATTTAAGTTCTACCAATGTTTCAGAACCAATTTCTATTTCTGAAATAAGCCCAAATGATGGCAAAGTCTCTTTCTCTTCTAAGCCAATATACTACTGCTGACTGTCCTGCCCGATTTCCTCCAGTGGTAATGTCTTGCAAATCTATAGTGTCATATTACAACAAGATGATTTCCACCGATGCAGCCAACATACAGAATCTTTCCTTTACTATAGGATTTGTGGTAAAGAGCCTAAAATTAAGGCCCATTATTTAATGTGCCTGGGGAAAACCAGGAGGGATTTGAGTGGCCTACCCACAAGCTCTCCTCCCTACTCTGCTCCTGAGGATAAAGCCCCAGACCAAAAAGCCCTCCTTATCATGGGGACCATGCACAATTTCTGCTTATTCCTAAGTGGTATGTTTCAGCTTCCTACAAGACAGCAGACTTAGTCAAATAACTGAATCACATCCTCCCGTGGGAACCAAGGGTCGTCACCCCATCCTCTTGGTGGTGCAAAGCCTAACTCCAACAGCTGCTGGATATTTACTCTGTTCCAGGGTGCACATGCTCCTATGTGATTCTGCATGCACTGTATCCTCCTCTCCCTGGCTGTGAGTATGTGTGACTAATAAGCTGCTATCAATCTTATTAATCCAGTGTTTGGCCATCCCATATCCCTCTTACAATAGAGATGATTCAAATAGGATTTTTCATGTGAGCTTTTATAGACACAGCCATTCCTTCCATGTATCCTCTTTTTAACTCCTGGCAAATACTAACTTGTTTTCCGTTTATTTCTTTTCACATCAAGACTGTTATGTACACATAAAATGATATAATGTATAAACATCGGGGATTGGCTTTTTTCGCTCAGCTTAATTCTCTGGAAATTCAGCCTGGTTGCTATATGTATCAATACTTCATTCCTAGAATTCCACTGTATATGTCCAACTATTTGTTTACCCATTCTCCACTGAAGGACATCTGGATTGTTTCCAGTTTTTAGCTATTATGAATAAAGCTGCTATGAACATTCACATACAGGAGTTTTAGTAAACATAAATTTTCATTTCTCTAGGATAAATGCCCAAGGCTGTAATTGCTGGGTCATACGGGACTTGCATGTTTAGTTTTTAAAGAGACTGCCAAACTGTTTTCCACAGTGCCTGGACCATTTTATATGCCTATCAGCAATTTATTAGTGATTCAGTTCCTCCTAATCCTCACAAGTCTTTGCTGTTCTCACTATTATTTTAACCTTTCTGATAGCTGTGCAATTACATCTCATTGTGGTTCTGATAAATTTCTCTAGTGGCCAATGATGGTGAATATCTTTTCATGTGCTACTCAGAATCTGTATATCCTCTTTGGCGCAATGTCTGTGTCTTTTGCCCACGTTCAAACTGGAATCGTGTATTCTTTTGACATTGGGGTTTGAGAGTTTTTAAGTATATTCTAAAAACTAGTCCTTGGTTGAAGATGTGGTTTGCAGATATTTTCTTCCATTCTGCAGGTCAGGTGATAATTTGAGCCACTTATTTAAATCTCTGGAGCCTGTTATTAGGAATCTTCTGTGATTTCTAGGCTAACAAGGGGTACCTTCAATTAAACAGTCATCCAGCAGGGTTAAATGAAAACCACTACTCATCATATCAATGTACTAAAGTGAAACAAACCCAAGATTCAAAGTTGAAAATCGTGGGCTGGCCATGGTGGCCCATGCCTGTAATCCCAGATACTCCAGTGGCTGAGACATGAGAATCACTTGAACACAGGAGGTGGAGGTTGCAGTGAGCTGAGATAGTGCCACTACACTCCAGCCTGGGTGACAGAGTGAGACTATCTCAAAGGACAACAACCACCTCCCCAAAACAACCAGAAAACAAAGTTGAAGATTGTGGTTCTAGTTCTGGCTCGATCAGTAAGTGTTACAGGATCTCTCTGGGGCTCAGTTTCATGATTTGCAAGGAAGGATCAGGCACCTTATCTAAACTACTATCTTATTCTACCATTCTATGATTCTTAGTTCAGAAGTTAAGCTGAATAGAATAAAGCTAATTTTCCTATTATAGTAACAATACTAACATGTAGGTTTTAAAACAACTGAGAATGGAATACCTTTTCTTCTTTGTTAGTGAGAATATGCTAAAATATCACAGTGCAACATTACATTTAGATTCCTATTGCCTTTTTCCTTTCCTGGCAGTGCCCAACAAATGCATCTCAGAGTTTGCTCTTTATTGTATAGAACCTTGTAGTTTAGATGATAGACTTGGAGTCTAACAATATCCTACCACTAAACTGGTATATGTGCTATTGGAACATTACTTAGCCACTATAATCCTCAGTTGTCTTTTTTTTTTAATTTGGTGATAATAAGAGCACTTAGCATGAAATGTTTCTGTGAGAATAAAATGAGATGATCCATGTGAGTGCTCAGCACTCATTCATTTTCCATTAGCACAGAGTAAGTGTTCAATAAAAATTATTAGCAGCTGTTGGGGCTGCTGCTGTTGTTATACTAAGTGATATAGTTTGGCTCTGTGTCCCCACCCAAATCTCATCTTGAATTATACTCCCATAATTCCCATGTATTATGAAGCGGACCCAGTGAAAGATAATTTGAATAATGGGAGCAGTTTCCCCCAAACTGTTCTCATGGTAGTGAATAAGTCTCATGAGATCTGATGGTTTTATTAGGGATTTCCACTTTTGCATTTCTCTCTTTTTCTTTTGCTGCCACCATAAAAGAAGTGCCTTTCACCTCCCACCATGATTCTGAGGCCTCCCCAGCCATGTGGAACTGTAAGTCCGATTAAACTTCTTTTTCTTCCAAGGCTTGAGTTATCAGCGGCATGAAAACGGACTAATACATTGAGTTACCCTAGATACCTAAGAAGCAGCCTCAAAGAAGCAGATGGGGGCTCTCAGGAGGGGGAGTGCTTTCTTTTGTTTCCTAAGGTTTTTAAAGCAGAATGTAGTTCTCAGCTGATGAAACCTACATTAACCATTATACAGGTAATTAGATTTGCCACTCACTAAAATGGCAAAGGAGGAATATATAGAGATCTTTTGCAATTAATGTTCTCACCTTGCCTTTTTCAGACCCCAGTGAGCTATTACCCTAAAATCTCTCCCTTCTTTCATTCCAAGGTCCCCAAATCTTTCCTCACACCCTCCTTTGCAGCCACTACTCTCTGGTCTCTGGATAAGAAATTTATTAGGTAGGCCAATTTATCCTTGCTAATTCTGTTCTCATTTTCATTTCCCTATGTCCTAGACTCTGCCCATTCACAAGTGCTCAGGAGCTAAGTGAGCAAGAATAATTCCTTCTTGGAAGCAGTGGTCAATATTTCAAATCCTTATAATTTGATATCTTATCTTCTTATCACTGCCACATAAAATATTAGCAATAAACAGAGGGACGGCTTCTAAAAACCCTGACACTATGACACAAACAGCTTTCAAATAATCCTCCTTAAAAAAATCTCAAAGGAGTTTTCCCCGTCAAATTGTAACATTCACTACCTGCCTGAATGAGCAGAACCATTGGCAAGAATTGGCATACTGATGCTTTGTTAAGATTCTCATTTATTTCCTACTCAATTTCTTACATTTCCAGGCTGATTACTTTCCATTCCAGAAATGCAGTTATTTCATCTCTACATGGCTGCTTGTTTCTTTTTACACCTGTACAATAACTGCTTATAGCCAAGGGGTTATATAGTGAATTTAAAGACAATAGCACTGCATACTGTGGGTTTTTCAAAGCAGAAGTTTTATTTCTCAGAAAGTTAAATTCTTTTTCTTTTAATGGAATTAGTGAGTCAGGATCATATTATACATATTTTTTTCTTTCCAGAACTATGATGACACAGGTAATTTTATTAAGCTAAGAAGCTCAATTCATGTCACCTGTTCTTTCATAAATACATCAGTGCAACTGGGAAAATAATTTTATTGAAAATATTAAATTTGGTGCAGGTTGCTTTTAGATATCATTTTTATCTGTCACGTAGGACCTTCTCATCCATTGATTTGCCCTGGAATGGGGATGTTTGTGAATCAAAAAATGTTATAGGGTGGCTACTGAACATATCTGTAATGAAGAATGCAAATAAGCATGCAGTCCTTGCCAGCAAGGAGCTTACTACCTATTTGGAAATGCAAGGAATATACACAAGTGACGTTGAATTAGAGTAACAGGAATCAGTAAAATCTAAGACAACAGTAAAGAAAATCCACCGCGTTGTGTGCAAACAAGAGCCAACTATTGGGTGGAGACTGTTATTAGAGGGAGAGAGAGACCCTGAAGGCTTATTAAGAATAAGAATTATTCTTTTAAAATTTTTTGTATAAAACTGCATCTTCTTTATTTTGCATACTTTAATTTCAGAACAAAATGAACAACAACAACAAAAAAACCCTAATATGCAACATCCAATCCTGTTTTCAAATTAGAGAGGGGATGGAGTTAGAGGCCCTTGTTTCCTGCCTTAAACACAAGGACAGGAGAGAAAAAACACAAGACATCAGCAGAGGGAGCCAAGTGAGACAGAACCACTCAAGGCTGCAGTCGGAGCCATGGTGACACTATGCAGACGGCACAAGGTTTCCAAGTATAAGCTCATCGTCTACCACCTCCATGAGAGATGCATCCTCATTGCCCTCAAGTGGGGAGGGGGGATTGTGTCAAGAACAGCAGCACTGGCTTCCTCTTCTGCCACTTCACCTTTGTCAATACCTAAACCTAGCTTGTTCATGGTATACGCTATTGGGGTAGGTCTGGGAATCCTCGGGAGAAGCCTGAAGAGACCCCCACAGTTTGAAGCGGGAGCACCACCAGGTCTTTGACAGCTTTGTTGTCCTTGTCCACCTCAGCCTTCTGCTGCAGTGTCTCCACAAAGGGTTGGTTAAGGTTGATCTCCAGGTGCTTTTTGGCCATAATGTAGCCTAAGGTCGAGTTGTCCAAAAGTGTCTGGGCTTCACAATCTACTTCATATGGGCTGTTCAGTTGTGGGTGTCAGTCACAGTGCAGCAGAATGAAGAAACAGCCTATTGGAGAGTGTCATCTTCTCAGTCTTCTTATTCAAGATTTTTTTCAGGACCTTGCAGAGGTTCACAAACTTTGCCTGGCTCTCCTCCACTTTCTTCTTCTCCTCCCTCCTCAGGTAGCTTAAGACTCTGCTAGATAACTATGACCAAGCTCTTCCCACCAAACTCATTGAGCTGCAGCACGCAGTACTCATCAGTGAACTTGGTCATATGTACTGCCTCAAAGCCCTTTCTCTGCACTTGCTCCATGAAAGCAGAGTTGGCCACTTGCTCTTTGCTCTTGCAGGTGATGTATAGATGGACTTCCTGTCTCCATGCAAGAGACATGCTCTGACAGAGATATCATCTCATCTCCGGACTGGGAGGTGTGATAGTACAGCAGCCCAGATAGGCATCACAAGTTAATGGAGTCCTCAGGGATCCCAACCTTCAGATTTTCAGAGAATTCTTCATGGAATTTCTTATAACATTCCTTGCCTTCTGCCAGCTCAGAGAAGAGCTCAAGATACTTGTCAACAGTGTTTTTGTGTAGACTTTCAGGATTCTGCTCTTCTGGAACATTTCTTGGGAAATGTTCAGGGGCAAATCTTCAAAGTCAACCACACCGTAGATAAAGCTGAGATACTTTGGTATCAGCTCATCATAGCACATGCCAGACATAGATGTTTTTCTTTTCTCTCTTGTTGTCAAAGGGGTCAAAGAGAGCCTGATGAGGGATAAATAGCAGTGCCCTGAATTCCAACTGACCCTCTACAGAGAAGTGCTTGCCTGGCAAGTGGTCTTCCTGGTCATTGGTGCAGCTCTCATAGAATTCTCCATACTCTTCCTGGATGATATCAGCAGGCCTTCTGATCCAAATGGGCTTGGTCTTGTTTAGTTCTTCCAGATCAATGTATTGTTGTTATTGTTGTTAATCTTCTGGGTTTTCTTTCTCTTGTGCTTACTGCTGTTATCCTCCTCATCTGAACCCACATCTTCAGTCTTGGGCTATTTGTCAGCATCTTTATCATCCTCTTCTTTCTCACCTTTCTTTTCCTCTGCCTTATTATCACTGACTTCCTTCACTCATTCCTTCTCCAAACAAAGGGTGATGGGATAGCCTATAAATGAGGAATGCTTCTTTGACCTGCCTCTCTTCCAAACACTCTATCTGGTCTTCTTTAAAGTGGAGGATCACTCTGGGTCCCCTGGCAATGGGCTCCTCATGATCAGCACGTACAGTTAAGAAACTCCTATCATAAGACTCCCAGTCATAGTGTCATCATCATTGTGCTTGATGATTACAACCACTTTTTCTGCCACCAGGTAGGCAGCATAAAAGCCAACACCAAACTGCCCAGGCCTGGAGATGTCTGCAGCAGCCTGAGGAGCCTCCATAAACACTTTAACACCAGACTTGGCAATAGTTCCTAAATTATTTATGAAATCGGCCTTGTTATGCCAATGTCTGTGTCTACCAAAGTAGGATGTGTTTCTGAGGGTTGAGGATGATGTCAATTTTCAGCTCTTTACCACTGACTAACTTGGAAGGTCCTGTCAGGTTCTCAAAGCATCTCTTGTCCAAGTCATCGGAAGCATTAGAGATCAACTACCAAATGAAAATCTCTTTGTTGTAATAGCAGGTATTGATGATGAGAGACATGAGTTGGGCAGTTTCTGCCTGATAGACCAAAGTCTCCATCTCCTCCTCTATATGGTACACCTCTGCAGGCGTCTTGAAAGGAAAAGACTTACCAGTGCTAGTGAACAAGGTGGGCTGGGACTGTCCAACATGCACATGGCTCCAAAGCTGCATGGGAATGACTCAGGAGCAAGAGTTGCCTTTTAATGAATGGGTTATTACCTGTCAGGCATTGATTTGTTTCAATTTAGGAAAAAACAATGGTATGGTTATTTTTAGATCTACTTTTCACATGAGGACAATGCTGAGACTTTTTACATAAATGTTAATGAGTGGTCCAGGTGAAATTTAAACACAGACATATTTGACTGCAAAGCCTGGGTTCTGTTTGCAACTTGTATTTTATAAAAAAAAAACATGCCAGGCAATGGGTAGGAGGATTTGATCTGATTATTGAAAAAGCAGTCAAAGACAAAGTGAGAAAGAAGCACAGAGTGACGGAAGGAGAAAGAAGAAATGAGAACATTTTAGGCTACAAAAATAGCATGAGAGTGGGGGGCAAAAAAATATATAGAAAGTGTTTGACAAACAATGGGTATTATGGATTTGCCTGGATCAAATGTAGGGGATGCTTATAAATGTGCTTAATAACATAGGCCCTGGATTTAGACAGTTTGGTTTAAATTCCAGCTCATCCATTTAAATCTGACCTCTCCTAGGCAGATTGCAACATCACATAGAATAGTTGTGATGATTTAAAGAGCTAGTGCAATTTAGGTGCTGGTAATACAGATGTTTTTGGTATGTGAAAATTCATCAAGCTGTACAATTATGTGCACTGTTTGGTATGAATGTCAGTAAAAAGATTTTTTTTTGGTACAAGGAGCCAATGCATGTGAAGCATTCACTGAATGTTAATTTATTATTCTCAATATATTCAGGACAGTGAGCTATTAGAATAAGATCTTAGCAGAATGTTGGCACATTGTAAAGGGCCTCTATT